TGAGTACGGACTGAAACCTCCACAAACTGTGAGCTAAATAAACCTTGCCTTCCTTAACTTTGGGCATTGGGTATTTTGTCTCAGCAATGAGAGAAAAATAACTAAGACAAATTTTACAAATAAGCTTCAAGCCTATTAGCCATCATCTTGTAATGTATTAAGTGAGTCTGGCTATCCCCAAAAACCTATGTAGCTGGTTTTTCACAGAAAGCCTCAAGACAGCCAGAAGTTTACAAGGATACAAATAAAAGGAAAAATAAAATTGATATGATCTCAAAAAACTTTAATGAAACAGCTCTAGCTACCTCAATCCATTCAAATGGATTAACAAGAAATGTAGAACACACAAGAAAAATAATTTTAAATCACAGCATACTCTTAGATTTATTTGCCAAGTTGAACTATAAAAATCTGTTATAGTTTTAGAATTATATTTGTAAATGGACTAATCAGAATTTTTTAGGGGTTGATAATTAGTGCATTTTAGGTGAATCATGACAGAGATATCTTGTAATAAGTTAACACCAATAAGAGTCAGAAGGAGAAGAAAGAGAAAGCAAGGGCTATTTAAAAAAGGGTTAGGCTGATGGTTATCTTAATTTTGGAATAGCTGTCCACAGAGCAGATCCCTCGGGTCACTCTGTATGAGAGTTACTGCAGCAAACTGCTCTTTTGATGGGGGCACAGCCTGTGGGAAAGTAACAGGGAGGCTCCTTCTGAGTTTCAGTATTTCCTCTCTGTAAGACAGGCTGGGAGCAAAGGGCATCTGCTTTATACCCACCATTGCTTTCTCTTCTTTGCCTATCCCTGCACATGACAGCAGGAGAGGGGATCCCCTTCCATATTCTGGTCAACATTAGTTGCACTATATATCCATACATTGTCCTAGGAGGGTTCACTGAGGTCTGATCCTCATGGTGGATAGATGGGTTTAGATTGAATAAATTTTGAGTGCCTCGCGGGAGTGACAGAAAGACCTCATATGGATATCCCTTAGTCCAACCTCCAGGAGAGAGGGACAGTGCTGTCAAGTGGCTCTTGTCTGGAAAAGTAGCAGTCTCTCTCCCACAGTTTGAAGCAAGTGGTTGAGTGATATCCAAAGTTAGCCCTCACTCCCAGCACTGGAGATGTCAGAGTAGGGTGAGGCTGGCTAAAAAGGCCTGAGGGACTCCTCCTTAACTTTGTCCTTTGTTCTAACAAATCTTCCTAGGGGAATCCAAAGGGTTACTTACCAGGCATTGGCTCTATGACAGTTAGGGTGTGGGGTGGACACCAGAGACATCAGGGACAAGGGGAGCCCAGAGTGTGAGCTAAGATCCTAACCTGCTCCCAGCCCAGTAAATCTATCAAGAAATATCTGAAGAAGAAGGAAGTCTGTCATATTAGCAGAGAGAGAAAAACCCAGACCCATAGCCCAACTCTTTATCTACCTCAGGTCATCTGGAAAGGGGATACCTGGAAAGCACCAAAAGTTACCTCTCACCTCAGGCTGGATGTGATAAGGCAAGTGGAGGTTTCTCTGCTGAGTACCCAGTCAGGTTGTCAGGACCTGGTTTACACCAGAGGACCTTTGAGCACCCACTGGAAAGCAGACCCAGCCAGAGTCTCACAGTTGTCACACTGGCTTTCATCAGTTTCTTGCATCCAGAGATCTACCTCAGAAAGGAATCCATCTCTCTTACAGGTCAACATTCCTAGTGTCTAGAGGGATTAGCTGGGGTTTAACAAAGAAAGTGAGGGCTGGCTGTTCCATCACACTTACCTCTCCATAGAGAAGTGAGTCCCACGTTGGGCGCCAACGATGTAGCCATTTTTTTGTTTCTGGGCTCTTGTCCTGAGGACAATGAAGAATGAAGCCAACAGGACAGCAGAGGGGAAAGAAGGAAGTATAGTTTATTAGAAAGAACAAAGAGAAGCTCTTGCTACCTGAGAGGGACCCCAAGAGTGGTCACTGAGGAAGCACATAAGTTCAGGGGTATACATATATACTTTTGTTGAGCTATTTTGTGGATGTGTGAAAATGAGACAATGAAGCAATGTAGTTTTCAGTTTAAGCTCAGGCTTTTGAAATTAGGAGAAGCAGACTTCCCCTGCTTCCCCTCCCAGCTTTCCACTGCACTTTTTTCTCAGTTTACCCAGCCCTTGCACTTTGAAACAATGGGTTGTCATTTGTAACTGGGCCCCTGAGATCAGTAAAGCACCCGTCTCTTGGTTTCCCTGCTTGCTAGCTTTCTGAGCTCTTTCCCTTTGTGTTCCAATTTTTCCAGGATTTATTTTCGTTTATTCAGGTCCCTATTTTATCTGTCTACTGTTTGTCTAATTCCTGGCCTCACTGCTGTTATTAATAGCATGCCAACAATTATGGAAACCAAAGTTAAATATGAAAGGGCATTGTTTATATTCAAGAAATAAAATAATAATTACTTTTGACTTTTCCCAATTGTCTTAGTTACTTCTTTTGCTGCTGAGACAAAATGCCCAACACCCACAAATTAAGGGAGGAAAGGTTTATTTAGCCAACAGTTTGTATAGGTTTCAGACCATAACTGGCTGGTTCCAAGGCAAGGTGGCATGGCAGACAGGCATCACAGAGAAAAAACAGTCCATAGCAGGCAGAAGGTAGCAAAGCAAGCAAGGGCAACCACAGCTCTTTCTATCCCTTATATCTTATCCAAGCTACTTAGAGTGGGTAGCACTCACATCCTTAATCCTGGTGCCCTTGATCCCAGCATTGCATCATGAATCAATTCTAGCATCACATACTGTAGATCCAGCCACCTATAAAAACCCCTATCTATGACTGCATGAGGCTTTGGGGGGGACATCTAAACATAAGCCATAACACCAATAAAAATAAATTTACCTTTTTTATTAGATATGACCTTAACTTCTAAAGTCTGAGAGCTTCCCAGATCAATGTATTTCACAGCATTCAGAGTTGGTGAATTATCAAGTTGTTGAAGCAAATAATGACATGGTTTTGAGTATATGTTCCATGTTCGTCCATTCCTTTGCCCAAAGTTGTATAAGAACCAGTTGCCCTTTGAAAAGGTTACATTGTTGGGTGCTATTGCTGGCATAGTAGCAATAGCTAAAGCATTCTTATCATCTAGAATTTCTGTGATCAAGAAGCTGCTGTAACCAGGAATCACCACAGTTTTCTCTATATCTGTAGCTTGAAACAAGGCATTAACAGCTGGAGATAAAACAGAAAAGATTTGGTATAACAGATAATATTCACTCGGCATACAGGTAGATAAAACTAATAAAACATTTGAGTTTTTAAAAGATGATCTTAACTAGAGAACATATTTGCCAGATTTCATGTTATAATTCAAATGTACCTTCTAGAAAGTTTATCATGACTATATCACATTAAAACCTATACTTAAATGTTTACTCTGAAATTGATGTATAAAAGTTCGAGTAGAGAAGAAAAAAACCTAAGCTCAACAAAGAAAGTTATTTCTCCCCCTCCCCTTCTTCCAGTACTGCAGATTGAAAGCAGGACTTCCCACTAAGCTCTGTCCCCTACTTCCTTTTAAAATTTCAACACAATATCTTGCTAAATTGCCCAGGCTGGGTTTAAGCCTGGCAATTCTTCCGTCTCAGCCTTCCAGAGTGCTGAGATTAGAGGCATAAATATGCCACCACGCCCAACTAGGATTAGTATTCTTATAAACAGATATATATTTATCCCTTTCAGGCAGCAGAAATATCATTTAGTTTATTTCCATGATAATGAATCATTTAGTAAGCAAATGATTGTATATGGGTATCTCTAGGTTTTCCCAAGATTGTTCCATAAAATTTAGAATTAATCTGCCAAGTCTGGGTAACATTAAGCAGAAGGGAGTTATCCACTGTCATACATTCTCCATGCTTCAAAGAAGATATTTTAGTGTATCTTTATAATTCACCTTTCTATCTATCACATCTTTTGTGGAAATGTATTCATTTCCTGCAGCCATAATAGAACTGAGACCCAGCATCCCCACAACATTCTTGAGTCTAAATCCCGGAATCACATTTGAAATCACCCAAAAGATAAGAATAGACCTCAGAAACTTACTACACATGCCCATGGGGAGAATGAAAGTAAATAAGAATTTTCAAGAAGAAAAGTTGATTTCTTTACTATGGAACTGTTAAGAGCCTTATTTATTGTGATTCCACAAAAGAAGGGTAATGTGGCCAGGGTTCCTCCAAAGTCTAAATATTACATAGAAAGTACTCAGTTGGTTGGTGGGATGAGTAATTAATCCTTCAAGGAGAGCAGGAAGATTTAGAAGAGGCTTTAGGGCAGGACGTGAGAGGACATCATCACTTAAGGACTGGGAATGGGGAAAAGATTGTATAAAGGATACAAGAAACAATTAGAGAAAATCCATCAGAGAAGATACCAACAAGACCAACAAAAGGCTGTTTTAAGGAGAGAAACATGTTTTTGATAGGTCATTAAACATGAGAACAAGACTCCTCTCACACTGAAAAAAACCAGAAATACAGGGCCTGCCTGGCAAGCGCAACATCGTGAGTTCAATTCCTGGTACCGGAAACAAACAAACAAACAAACAAAACCAGAAATAATCCAAGAGAGAGTCTAACAATTCTCTTTATTGCACACATACACTCTCTCCCATTTCAAACCAACCCCTGATTTTCCCCAACATTCCCTCAAAAGGCCACATAATTTCGCTCCTCCCCTTCAGAAAGAAACGCCCTTAAAGTTACCTTTATTCACTGTCTTCAGTTCTGCATCTCTCATGTTTTGAATCCATTCTAGTCAGGCTTGCCTATACCATCCCAGCCAATAGCTTTTGTCAAATCACCAATGACTTTTGCAGGGGTCTAATAGCCAGTTTTCATTTAATCTCACCTAATTTATTTGTGGCTTGTAATACAGGTGCACTCCTTCCTTTTTTCTTTTCTTTTTTCCTTTTCTTTCTCTTTTTGAGACAGGATCTCATTATGTAGCCTAGGCTCATCTTAAATTTGAGATGATCCCCCTGCTTCAGCTTCCCAAGTGTTGGGATTATAGGAGTGTACTACCAGGCCTGGTAGTCCTTCCTTCCTGAAATACGTTCCTCACTTGGCTTCTGAGATACACCCTTGGTTCTTTTCTGTTCAGACCATCTCATCTCCTTTACCAATAATACCTCCCCAGCCCCCAGAGGCTTACTGTCAGAAGGTCGGTGGTTAAACCTCAGGCCTCTTGCTTTCTCTATGCCCACTCATTTCCTGGGTCTTCTCACCTGGTATCATAGCAAAATCATATACAAGCAGTTTCTCTGGGCTCCACATTTGTTTTTCTAAATGCCTATCTTACGTCTCCACTTGGATGAGTAACATACATCTTAAATTTAATATGATTTCCTACAGAGAGCCCTTCCCAGTCCTCCTCACAGCCCAGGAAGTTTTTATTTGTATCCCATGAAAAATTATTAGAATTGTAGTGAGCTAATTCCAATCCACCCATTGGATTGGAATTCCAGTGCAACCCATGGTGAGAATAAAGACTCTAAAGCATATCGGTAATCATGGGGAGCCAAGGGGTCCTAAGTCCAGCCATGATGATAGTTATCTGGAACAAAGGCCTATACCCACAGCCAAATCCAGATTTTATTCATTTGTGAAGAAGAGAGTGGCTTGAGGATGAGTGACTGAGAACTGTGGGAAGTAGGTGAGTGCTATGAGCTGGGCTAGGTAGGAGGCCTGAAATCATCTCTGCCATATGCAGAGAGGAGGATCTGCAGAAAGAGTAATCTGCATAACTCAACTGAGATAGTATCTAATGTTTTGGGGTTGATGCTTCAGCTCTGATGTGTAATCTTTGAAATCCCAGGAAGTCATAACCTCTATTCCTGAGGCTGGATCCCACGTCCCTCCTCATCCCACCTCACTTGAGGGAGCAGCAGAGGGTCAGGGAAACACGCCCGCCATCTCCAAAGATTATCATCAGCACCTTGGCTAGACCGATATGAATTGCTTAAAGCCAACTGAAGGGATAAGGAAAAGTCCTAGCCAGATCAATACATATCAATACATGGAAACAGGGTCAGGCTCAGCCAAAATGGAGGCAACTGCTTCTCTTTTAAGGAGAGTCACCTAGGTGGTCCTCCACAATTTCTCACTGGATTACTGCAATAGCTTCCTAGCTGATTTCTCTGCTTTCCTCCTTGCCCTATCTCTGTTACCCAGTCTGTTGTTGACACAGCAGCCAAAGCAACCTCATTAAAACAGATTGTGTCACCTTTTACACAAACCTGTATAATGGCTTCCCATTTACTCAGAGTAAGGCCCAAATCCTTAAAGCATACTAATTTTTGTGTTCTTTGATACATACATAGATATTCTACCTATCCTTATACAAAGATAATTTTTCTGAAATAGAAATATCTTATATAGCAGTGATTTCAAATTATTTTACTACATAGAGCAAAATCTGCATGAACTTGTTATTCTCTTTTTTTATTTTCTTTTTTTTATTTTGAAGAGAGTAGTAAAAGAAAGAAAGGAAGAAAAAGAAAGAAAGAACAATAGCAGCATATCAACACCACACACGTAAACAAAACAAAGCAAGAACATTAAAAATGATACAGGGTTTCAAAACAAAATGATAGGAATTAACAGTGGTTGTTATATTACTTATTATTATATTCAACTTGTAACTTGTTATTTCTTTTTCTTAAATTTTTAAATTTACACAGAGTTACTATTTTGTCTCACTTTTGAGCACTGTTAAGGCAAAATAACCTCATGGGCATAGACGATAGGCACTCCTATTAATGATATATTGATGGTTATAGGTAGGTTTTATTATATAAGGAACAAATAAATAATCAGAAATCTAAGCATATACAAACTTTGGTAAGTTGCCAGGTAGACTAAAATTTGAAAGCTATTGCTCTATCCTGAACAAAGACAGTCTTCTCAAAATATATTTTTCCATTTATTTTAGTCACCAGAGATATATTATGTTTTAACACGTACTTTGTAAATCAAGAGTAAGTTTATAGGAGGGCTTTCTAGTTTCTTCAATAATGGAAAGAGAACTTGACAAACAAGAGCTGTCCTTCACTTCTTCTACTCCAAAAGGCTGTATAATTTCTGCAATAATTGAGGATAAAAATTCTCTAGGAGTTTCATGTTGCAATATCTTTCTGATGTATGCTGTTCCAGTTTTACTAAAAACAAAACAACAAACATTAGGCAACTTGGATATTATACCTGCCTAAATGAGCAAGTTCATGAACATACAATTTACAAATAAAATATACATCTATGGGCAACAAATGAACATTTGTTGAATGAAATGTCAATGACAACAAAGGAATATAATTTTTTACTTCTAGAATTAGCAAAAATATTTATTTATGTATTTATTTATTTATTTATTGTACAGTGGATTGAACACAGGGCCTTTGTACTGAGCTACATGCCCAGCCCTTTTAAAATTTTGAGACAGGGTCTCACCAAGTTGCTAACTTACCTAGGTCGGGCTCAAACTGTTCATCTTTCTGCCTCAGCCCTTCCAGAGTGCTAGGATTATAGGCAGGTGCCAGCATGCCAAGTGACTTATTTATTTAGTGGTGCTGGAGGTGGGATGCAGGGCCTCATGCATACAAGGCAAGGACACTACCACTGAGTCACATTCTCAGCCAGTAAATATTTCAAATGACAGGGTTCAGTAGTAGTGAGAATGAAGTGGAGATAACATTACTATATGTAAACTCACTCACTAGTGATGAGATTGTAAATTAGGGCAAACTTCCTAGAAAGCAATTGGACATGTATTAAAAGAGTTAATCTTTCCCCCTACCCCCTGCCAGCTGATTGCATTGGTCTACTAATACAGATCTATCCTGAGGAAATACTAGAAACACAGGGAAGGGGGAAACTATGTATACAGATATTCATCATGGCATTTTAGTGAAAGTTAGAATTACAAAATACTAACAGTAGAAAAAGTAAGTAAATGATAGTACATAATTTACTTACAGATAATGCATCTATTAAAATGGTATTTATAGAATTTATAATTACATAAGGAAAATAGTTGTATAATGTTTAGACCAAGAGAGCAAGGCAAAAAATGTTCAATATATGGAAGAAGGACTGATCAGTAATTCACCAGTGTTAACAGTTATAATTTCAGTTTTCTTTTATATGTATAGCAAATGAAGCTGATTATTTTATTTATTTATTTGGTACTGGGAATTGAATCCACAACCTAGTGCTTGCCAGGCAGGTGCTGTGTGGCTGAGCTATATTCCGGCCCTGATAACTTTACTATTTTTAAATAAACAAAATAAACTTGGGACACACACATTTCAGAGTTATCAAAGTTTATTTAGTTTTCTTTCAAATGAGGTTTCATTACCCGTAGAAAGGGGCCAGGATGACAATAACAGACCAAAATCAAAACCAAATCAACAATGAACCACAGAATCTCAGTAAAAAAACAAAATAAGACAAATAATAACTTCAAATCACTCAGGTTTAATTGAATAACCATTTCTACCAAAGAAATGTATGAATGATCAGTAAACACATGAAAAGACACCCAGTGCCTCTAATCATTAAGAAAATGTAAATCAAAATGACAAATAGATACCATGTCATACCCATTAGCATGATTATTATTAAACAAAGATATAAAATAACACGTTGGTTCAGATCTGGAGAAATTTGAACCGATGTACATTACTGGTAGAATAGAAAATGGTGAAAATGCTATGGAAAATCATATGATGGTCCTTTATAATATTTTTTTGTTTGTTTTTTTGGTTTTTCTCTGGTACCAGGAACCAAACTCACGACCTTGCGCTTGCCAGGCAGGCCCTTTGCCGCTGAGCTAAATCCCCAGCCCCTATAATATTAAACATAAATTTATCATATGATCCAAAGAATTGAAAGCAGGCATTCAAACAGATATGTGTACATCTATGTCTGTAATTGCATTATTCATAAAAGCCAAAACGTAGACACCAGAAGCAGGTCAAGTGTTCATAAATAGATTAATGGTAAACAGAATGTGCTATATACATACCATGAAATATACTCAGCCTTAAAAGGAAGGCAATCCTGTCATGTGCTAAAACATGGCTAAACCTTTGGACACTAAGCCATGTAGATGAATTTAACACTTCACAACTATGTACTTAACAATGGTTAAAAGGTATATTGCATGCTATGTATATTTTACCATGATAAAACACTGCATTTCAAAAAAAGAAAATATAAAGACTAAAAATGACTAATTACTGATAAATGTTCAACTGATCAGCAAGATGTAACAATGGTATATTTATATGTCCTCAATGGCAGCCTCAAACTGTATAAAATAAAATTAACAGAACTACAATTAGAAATTGACATATCCAATATTAACAGCAGGAAATTTTAACACAATTCTGTCAACAGCGGATCAATCAAGCAAAAAAATCAGTAAGGATACAGAAAATTGTAGCAGCACAATGAACAAGACTGATCTAACAAACAAATATCAACACTGTGCCCAATTCTACAAGTACACATGGAATTGAAGGAGTTCAGAGCATAATACCCCAAAATATCCACTCTGGTATATTTACTGTTTTGAGTGAAAGACATTTTAAGAAAACAGGACAGTAAGGTGGGCATAGTGTTGTACTCCTATAATCCTGGTATTTAGG